CCTCGGGGAGTGTGCCTGAGAGCTCAAGAAAATAGAGAGAGAAAATCAGTAAGTAGACAGTTCACAGTTCCTTCCTGATGTTCTCCGCCAGTTTGTGGATTAAGAATCTTTAAAGACTGATATTTGTAAATGATAAGTGATGTTTTGGCTTTCTATGTACCTGCATTAATGAGATGTAACGAAAGGAAACAAAGGTGTAAGAAGGATACTCAGAAGAGAATCCATTCAGAACTTTCTTAAATTTTACTATGTTCAACTTTTACTTTTGTATAACTTTTAATCAGTTCTTTGAAATCCATGTTGGGTGATCTTGTATATTGGGAAAATTAAAGCTGTTCTTCGATGCAGATGTACAGCAGTGGTAATCCAACTAACATTGCAAATCCTGTAAAAGATGCGAGAGTTCAGCTTGATATCAGCAGAAGAGTTGGAGGAAGGTTAACCCTCTACCAATCTACTCTTTGTGAAATGATTCCATTTAATCAGCTCAATGATGATTTGAATCTTGATCCGCAAGGCTATCTTTACCCATACAATGTAAATGATATCCAACTTATTTGTTGCCAACCTGATGCAAGTACTCTGTGGCTGGTTCCGGATGTGGTTCAGAGAAGATTCATTCTGTCTCTTAAAGAGATGGATGTTAAATTTTCTTGGGTTCTTACAAGGGACAGGCCTAAGGGAAAGGAGGTAGTGAAATATGAAAGAAGTCTTGCTCCTGCGGATTGTCCAAAGCCATCGGAAGTTAAGAAAGTTCTAAATGGTTCAACCAATAGCTTCCGCGTGTATAATATATATCCAAGATATTTTCGTGTGACTGGTTCAGGGGAAGTTAGGCCTATCGAACAGGAGGTGAGATGGCCTTTAAACGCACTTAAGCTAAATATGTATTCTATGTTATTTGATTTTTCTTGTCATGCGAAGTTAGCTGAATTATACCAAACATATCAACATATTAATTTTGATGGATATTTTAAGTAGTTGGTTAAACCTACCATCCGATTAATGTTTTGCATTTTAACTTCTATTTAGTATTAGCCACCTAAAGATATTTATGTGTCAATAACTGGTTTTTATAGGAAAATGATGTTAGCGCGGATATCATTTTAAATCGGGGAGTCTCTGAGTGGTGGTCCTTCCATGATATCAACTCGCTGGATGTAAAAGGCTGTGGAGGGTTGCGAGGGCCTATGGCCATAATTGTATCAGAGGAAACACCGCGTAAGTAATGGATTATTTTTTTGCATAGGATGAGAAATTAAGTGAAGTGTTGTTGTTCACTAACAATTTGTTTGTGTTTTAGAGGGATTGCTAGGTGAAACTCTCAGCAAATTCAGTATATGGGGTCTCTATATCACATTTGTTTTAGCAGTTGGCCGCTTCATCAGACTGCAGTGCTCCGACTTGCGAATGAGAATCCCATATGAAAATCTTCCTTCATGTGACAGGTAATATTACGTCATGGTCTGATTATTAACATTGTTGTAAAGAAAATCGAGTAAGAGTCCTAGTTAAAGGAAAAATGAGCAATTTTGGTTCCGTGCAGATTGATTGCCATCTGTGAGGATATATATGCTGCAAGAGCAGAGGGTGAGCTTGGAGTGGAGGAAGTCCTATACTGGACACTGGTGAAGATATATAGGTCTCCGCACATGTTGCTCGAGTATACTAAGCCTGATTAGTCCAAGAAGAGTTTGCTCTCAACTGCAGAGTTTGACAACCGATATTTGTCCTAACGGATATGTAGAAGAGACACTAACCAATACCATAGAGTTCATCTCTTTTCCTCGCAGTCAACATGACAAACTTCCCAATGTCTTTTTTTTAGCTTGAAGTTGGGAAGGATCATATGTATTGATTCCTCATGCTGAAACCTCCAAAAATAGATGTTAGAAACATTTGTAAATATAGGTCAGGGTGCAAAATATAGCAACAATTTTGTGTAATATACTTTTTTGGCATAGAAAAGGTTCTCATCTAGGGCTGTATTTTGTCCCGGGCCCGGGCCTTAGTGGGCCTAACGGGCCGGGCCTCGCGGNTCTATCTAACTTGCGTCCTTTTCCTTTTTGAGTGATGTTTACTACTAATCTAACATCTCCTTGAGGAGGTTTTTTGTACGATTCATATGTTTCTTGTTTGAAAATCTTTTGTTTTCCTCAGCATATTGGCCACCAGAGTTATAGTATTAATCTCTGGATTACTTTCATGTTTTGTCAATTACTGCGCAGGTTGTAATGCCCTTTGACCAAATGTTGCTGCAACTATTTATTTGAACACTAGAGCATGAATTAGTTTCTAGGTCCAATAACAAAGCCATTTCTCTCCTTCCCAATTCTCTTCCCTAAGTGCAAGAGATCTGAGTGTAAATACTGAAACAGTATTCATGCTAGACGAACCCTCTCTGTTGGAGTTTTGAGCATTTCGGCACTGGGCATTGTGTTATCACTAAACATTGTTCTATTTTTAGTAACAGTTGTTACCTCTTTGTACCTGTTTACCTTGAAAATGGTATTTAGAATTATATTTGATTTGGTGGTTTTAAAAATACGTGATTTATTTCAATAAGTTGTTAGGCAATAGATGCTAAGTTTAAGTAAAGAGAATAAGATATGCGAACCAATATGGTCACAAGGCTGGGCCTCGAGCTGGCTGAATCAGGACCTCGAGGTCTAGATGAGGCTAATAGCAATGAACAATTGATCAAGAATCGATGATAATGAGGGCCTTAAAGATGGCCTTTTGCGGTTAATAACGAGCAATAAATGAAGAACAATAAATGAACAATGAAAGAATAAGCAATAAATGTGTAGAACAATTGTTTAAGCAAAGAGAACAGAGAATGTTGTCATGTATTCAATATTTTTCCAACCCCCTTACAAGATGACAAGGGTCCCCTTTATATAGGAGGGGGATCCTAACATAGTACATATCTAATAATGATGGGGAAATGCTATTGGTACAGCTGTGTGATGGCTCAGTATGGATTTGTACTATTCTTGCAGACCTGGTCAGTTCTAACCACGTGTCCTTGGGAGCTTTCCCCCATTTCCATGACGATCGTCGATTGTACTGCTCCGAGATCGACCATAGTGAGCCTTTGATGTGCTCCTCGAGGGACACGCCTCGGGATCGCACCTCACGCTCTACTTCGGGCTTCTTCGAGGTTGGGCGTGGAGCAGCATAGTAGCCCTAAAGTCGAACTCCCAATTTTGGCCGTACACATATAACTTATAAATACTCCAATTCCCTATCTTTCCAACCTTTGCAACATCTTCAGATCTTCAAACCTTCGTTAAAGTTTCCTGTCTTCACCCTTCTTCTGTGTTCACTCCTTCGTCAACTTGCTTTGAAACTTTTGTTACAACCATGGCCAAAACTTCTAAGACAGTACCCCGAAAAGAGGAAGCCCCCTCTTCGTCACGCTCGTCTAAGAGCAAAAAGGTAGTGGCTCCCAGCGTTGAGGAGTGCGTTCTTGGGACCTTCAATATGCCTCTCATTTCAAAATTGATAAACCTGCTTCGGTAGCGGGCCGATGCGAGCCCATGTCTCGGTACATTGGTCTAATAACTAACATAAAGAAGGTGAAAATAGATTGCCGCCGGAGAGAGGCAATACAAGTAGAGATCCCTTCTTTGGAAGAGAATATAACTACACATAAACCCGGTTTCCTCAGTGTGTATACGTATCTTTTTTCCTTAGGTCCTGTAGATTCTTCTTCTCCACCGATAAACCCGGTGATCCTCGATTTTTGTCGAGAATATCGAGTGACGCTTGGTCAGATTTATCCTTCTTTTTGGAGAATCGTTTATTTGCTTAGATATTTCTCGAACATGGTCGAGGGGATGTCGTTCACCCTCAATCATCTTATTAGATGGTATATCCCTCGCCTCTATCGAGGGGGCCTAGTCAAACTGCAACATCGATCTGCCAAAGCATTTTTTGCCAACACTGATGAAGATAAAGACCGGGGACGGATAAGCCGCTTCATTCGAGTCAGGACTTCGGACCTCATCCCTCCTGAGAAGATGCCATTCCCTGAGGAATGGAATATGAGACGCAAGTGTCATTACACCGAGCATGCTTTATCATCTGAATGTCCTCTTTTCCTCTTTCGAACTAATTCCTTTGTTATTTGAATTGATTTTCCTCTAGTTGCGTAGCCACCGTGTGGTTCCCCGACGCGGTCAGGGACCTCCCGAGCTGGGTTAGACTTTTAGACTCCACCTCATTATATGACAAGCGCGTTTGGCGTGATTTGGCCAAAACTCGATGGGAGGCCAAATATCATGGTATGCCTTCACCGTTGTCACTTCTAAATTCCTTATGAATAGATTTCCTGGCGGTATGTTTGACATTTTATGCTTGTGCAGGCCTTGGGGAAGCTGTTTCGATGAGATCGCCTCCTCCTGGCGAAGAGGAGACCCAAAAACCCGCAAAGGATAGAAAGAGAAAGAAAGAGACGCCGGCGGAGTCTCCGACATCAAAGAGAGCTAAGGCTCGAAAGCCCAGGACTGATGCAACGGTCCTAACTTCAGGAACGACTGAGAGTTTTCATGCTGAAGACAATGATGGCTGCCCACTGGTACATAGGGCAAGACGAAGCATTGGTGCTTCGACGGTTGCCGGGCAGAAGACTGCCGATTCAGAGGTGGCCAATGCGGTCCCACCTCGTATTGAGGAGCCCCTCGAGGAGGGTTTGGATGCAGTTCCCGAGCTGATCACTGAACAGGTTACAACTTGTGCCGATAAACCCCTGGTTGGCGCATTCGGAGGATATTGCTCTGAGGCCCTTTGAGGGCAAGAAGAAGCCTCGATAGAGGTTAATGTCATAGGCGGCCTTCAATCAGGACCGTCATTTTCCCCAGGGCAAATACAGGATGCCCAGATTAGGGAGACTGCTGATGTGGGGGCACCCCGGGGGAGGATGATGCGTTTTGAGCATTTGGAGATTTTTTTGCTAGTGTTGAAGAGGATGTTGATCTCGATGCTTCAGTAGTTCTTGAGGAGGCCACGAAACTCCAAAAACAGGTGATTTTGACATAACCTTCCTTGAGTTTTGATCTTCGTTTTTCTAATTTCTTTCCTTCGTGCTATAGGTCATGATGGTGTATGACCAGGCCTTCTCCAAGTTAAGAGCTGAACTGACTCAGAGTGAGGAGGAGTTCGAGAAGCTTGCTATGGAGTCGAAAGAGCTAAAAACTCTATACGCCCGAAGGGGGGAGGAACTGAACAACCTTCGAGCAAGCTCGGAAAAAGTGCTCCAAGAGCGGGCCAACTTCATTGAGCAGGTAGTTCGGTATTCGTAAGCTTGATTTTTTTTCATAACTTGGTGTTAATTATCTTGACTCGGCATTTGCAGATTGAGTGAAACGATGCCTTAGAAGAGCATCTTTGGGGAGAGATTGAGGCCAAATATGCCGAGATCCTTGAGCTGAAACAGTACAAGGACAGCATGGCCTTGGAAAGGGATACTCTCCGAGGGGAGCTGGCTTTGACCCAGGGTCTTCTTCAAGGTGCTAAGGAAGAGGCTCATAAATTCCAGGCGCTTCATACTGAGTCAGTTGCCGCGTTATCCATGGCCAAGTCTGAAGCCGATGCACTCTTATCCTCATATCGAGATGACGCTGCTGCAGCAAATACTCGAGCCAGGGAGATATCTGAGGAGGCCGAGCTCAAACTGGCTCGCACCCTTGCATATGCTCGATTAGAGGCTCGGAGAGAGGCCTTCGAGGAAGTGCATGCCAAGGGTTTTGATCTCTCTGCCGAGATCGAAGAAACAAAGGCCTTGGAAGAGGAGTCAGCAACTCCGACTACTTCGGGTGAGGGCTCTGCGAGTGGCTCGGGGAGTAGCGAAGATGAAGACTAGGCCACCTTTGCTCTTTTTACTTCTTCTTTTTTTGTACTTGGACTCCACGTGGGAGTTTTGTATATGCACCTTTGTAAATATATTTTTGGAATGCAAAGGGTTTTCTTGTTTAATGTCTTCAAAGTTTTGCCTTTTAGTGTTCATGCCGAAGTCAAGCTTCGAACTTGAATTTAAATTCTTCGAACTCGGTCTCGGAGTAACATAGACCCTCTAGATCAGGTTGTTCTCGTTTCGATTGCATACCTTCCCTAGGTCGGGTTGGTAAAGACTCGATTTGACTCTTCGATGCCTCGAAGACGGGGTGGTAACGTTATTCCTATGACACGATCGTGAAGTGATCGAAATGGCCCCGTCGGTACATTTCCCAAAAAGTCATAATTGCATCGTGAGGGATGATTGGCTATCAAAGTTAATGAATAGTCGCCGCTCTTTTTATATATACTTGCTTTCCTTTCTTTGAAGGTTTTGCCGCTTTTTGCAACTACCTTTCTCTGTAGAGTTCCTTTTTTGTGCTAGTTCTAGTGTCATATCAGATCAAAGCTTTCGCCTGAGTTTTCATCTTCCCTTTCTTGTGTTGAAGGAGCTATGGCTACCATGCCCAAATCCGCTCACCAAGAAGAGGGAAGCCCCACCTCTGCTTCCCCCCCGGCCGGTGGTACACCGCCGGTGTTTGGTGAGCTAACTTCGAACTGTTTCGTCTCAAAGAAATATTTTACGATAGAGAAAACTCTTGACATTCTGGGCCATCGAGAACATGCATCGAGGTTCATTTGATCAATAGAAGAGAGACACCTCGAGGCTGTGAGGAGAGACTGCGGATGAGGAGAAAAAGGTGAGGCTGCAGGTACCCTCCCGGGAAGAGGATATTATGGCCCACGTAGAGGGGTTTCTGAACGTGTACATGTACCCTTTTACGTTGGGTCCTCTCGACCAACTCGTGCTCGAATTCTGTCGAAGATATCAAGTTACTTTGGCTCAAATCCATCCGTCTTTCTAGCGGATTATGCCGATGATGAGATTTTTCGCGGAAAAGGCCGAGCTCGAGTTCACTCTTAGCCATCTCATCAGATTGTATCGGCCTTTAAATTATCAAGGTCTAATTACACTATGATGC